AACAAAGCCTGCATGAAAACAAAATGGTTTAATTTTAAATCAGATGTTAACTTGCTTTAAAAGTTTTTGTCTCCTGCTCTGTACATTATACTTTAGTTACATACAGGAGGCTCCAGCAGGGCTTATCAAGCTATTAACAGAGCAGGAGATAAGAAATTCTAAATTTGCAATAAAGGAAGTGTAGACATTAGATCTCACTTTATAGGAAGTATTTGGGGAAACTGTGTAAGTCACATGCATGTAGGTGTGACTTGGGCTGCATAAACACAGTGATTTAACACCTAAACGGCAGAGAGTTAAGCAGTGAGATTGCACCCAAACTGCTTCATTAAGCAAAGTTATTTTGGTGACTGTAGTATCCCTTTAATAACATACCAACAAAATAGGGGTTTTCTCAGTAAGTGTTGCTTCATAGAATGTGACGGCAGATAAGAACCATTCGACCCATCTAGTCTGCCTGATTTTCTAAATACTTTAATTAGTCCCTGGCCTTATATTAAGTCTAGAATAGCCTTATGCCTATCCCACACTGTGTTAACCTCTACCACTTCAGCTGGAAGGCTATTCCATGCATCCACTACCCTCTCTGTAAAGTAATATTTCCTGAAATTATATATATAAGAGAAAGAGACACACAGAGGACATTGGGGGGAAGGGGGAATAAAGAGACACACAGAGGGCCTGGGGGGAAAAAAGACAAAAACACAGAGAGCCTGGGGAGGGGAAGGAAGAGACCCACAGAGAGCCAGGGTGGAGAAACAGACATGCAGAGGGCCTTGGGGGGTATAAAGAGACACACAGAGAGGCAGAGTGTCGCACAAAGGGGGTTGAGGGGAAGAAAGAGACACATGGAGGGGCTTAGAAAGAGGTACAAGAGACACACTGGGAAGGGGCTGGGAAGGTGAACAAGAGACACACAGAGGAGATTGAGGGAGACACATAGAGGGGCTTGGGTGGGGGAAGAGACACACAGAGGGCCTGGGGGAGGAGAAAGAGATACACAGAGGGAACACAGAGGGCCTGGGGGAGAAATAGACACAAAGAGGGCTTTGGGGGAAGAGAGAGAGAGAAACACAGAGGACCTAGGGGGAGAAAAAAGAGACACACAGAGGGCCTGGGGGAAGAAAAAAAGACTGAGAAAGGGGAACAATAGACACGCCACAGGGGAGCTGGGAAAGAGGAAACAACAGAAACACAGAGTGGCTAGGGAAGGGCAATAAAAGACATACAGAGATGGGCTGGGAAAAGGGAACAAGAGACACAGATGGGAAGAGTAAAAAGAGAAACACAGTGGGGCTGGGAAAAGGGAGACGAGACAAAGGGGTTGTGGAAGGGAAGAAAGAGCTAGCTTCATTTTCTTTCTCAAGTTAACAAAGGGTGAAGCTTGCCTTAAAGGAACATTATAGTCACCAAAACAACTTCAGTTTAATAAAGTAGTTTTGGTGTATAGCTCAGTTCCCTGCAGTCTTATTGCTTAATCCTCTTCCATTTAGAAGTTGAATCACTTTGTTCAGGCAGCCCTAGTCACACCTCCGTGTATGTGACTTACAAAGCCTTTCTAAAAATTTAATGTAAAGTGAGATCTAATGTTTTTGCACAGTCTATTTAATTTAGAAATTCCCATCTCCTGCTCTATTTATTAATAGCATTCTGCACCTTGCAGGCACCTCCTGTGTGTGATTAAAATTCAATTTACAGAGCATGAGATAAAAACTTTTAAAGCAAGTTATCATCTGATTTTAAATGAATCCAATTTTTTTAATGCAGGCTGCGTCAGTCAGAGCCAGGGAAGGTGTGGCTAGGGCTGCATGTGCAGAAACAAAGACAATTTAACTCCTAAATGGCAGAAATTGAGCTTGATCTATGCACTAAGCTGCTTCATTAAGCTAAATTTGTTTTGGTGATTATAGTGTACCTTTAAGCTTCATTCTTTTTCAAGGTTGCCAAGTGAAGGAAAATACATAAACAAATAATGTTTAAAGAAAAGAACACATTTTGAAAGGCAATGAGAAGAGAAAAAAAAAGAAAGTAAGTTTGAGCTGACAGAGTCACTTTAAATTCATATAAAGTGATTACCTATTCAAACATTTAATATCAAGATATACATGTGCTTGCAAACCACAGAATTTCATGAAACACTCTCAGGCTAAAGAACAGTTACTTTTAACAAAGTTCATGAACGCAGGAAGGCAAACTTTGCTGAGTCAGCCTTGTGACTGCAGGTTACTAGAGTTTATTGAAATACGAACACTCGTATGTGTGCAGTTACAAGGAAGGAATCTTTTATGAGAATTGTTTAATGACGGACAGAGTCTATTGAATTTATAGAGAAAACAAGTACAATACATGTAAATTTAAACCAAAATTTTAAAAAATATACAATATCTTAATTTGTATACAATGACGCAATGGCTTTTCCTTCAGCATAAAACAGCATATATTTTTCCCTTGCGCAGAACTAATACAAAAACGTGTTGCATTATTTTAGTTTTGTATGCCAAAATAATTTGCGGTGGTTTATGAAAGGAATGCTCAAGCACTATATCACTATATTTTTATATCTGGAGTGCCTTGTTATCTCCCAGTGTAAGTAGTTAAACAGTTTAAGAATGGTTTCCCAACTAGTTCTAGGGGTGTGTTGGGCACCTGACTCTGCATTCTTTGGAGCAAAAAGCTTATGCAAGGAGCTGTTGTTATCTCCACTGAGCTAAGCCCTGAAAATTGAAAACCACTATTTTTGACTAATTTAAATTTTGCAAAACTATTTTCTACCTTTATGCTACCTTTATTATTTGGTAAGGTGAACATCCATTTACTCCCTAAGTAGAATCAACAGGAACCCAAATGAGAAAATGAATAATGGTCTACGTTCGTCCATTCTACATATTCACCATGGTTCGGTACATTTGGCCTACATTCGACCATGCTACACAGTCACCTTGGTTTAATATTTTCAGACCAAGTTTGGCCACGTTACATACTCACTTTGGTTTAGTACATTTGGCCCACATTCGGCCACGTTACATTTTGACATTGTTCAGTACATTCGGCCTACAGTCAGCTGCACTAATTATTCAATTTGGTTCAGTGCATTAGGCCTAAGTTACTAAGTTACCAATAAGGGGGGACCTATTGTCCTCCAGCCGGCCCCCACCTCTGAGCGGCAGGTGGGGGCACTAAAGTAAAATAATGGGGGGACCTATTGTCCTCCCCCCGGCCCCCGCCCATGAGTGGTGGTTGGGGACCCTAAATTAGAATAAGGGGGGGACCTATTGTCCTCCCCCCATCCTCCACCCATGAGCGGCGGGTGGGGGGCCCTAAAGTAAAATAAGGATGGGGGACGTATTGTCCTCCCCCCGGCCCCTACCCCTGAGCGACAGGTGAGAGCACTAAGTTAGAATAAGGGGGGGGACCTAATGTCCTCTCCCTGGCCCCCACCCTTGAGCAAGTGGTGGGTGGGGGCCCTAAATACCAATATGGGGGGACCTATTGTCCTCCCCCCGGCCCCCAACCCTGAGCGGTGGGTGGGGTCACTAAATTAGAATAAGGGGGAACCTATTGTCCTGCCCCCTGGTCCCCACCCCTTAGCGGTGGGTGGGGACCCTAAATTAGAATAAGAGGGGGGACCTAATGTCCTCCCCCCTGGCCCCCACCCCTGAGCGGGGGGTGGAGGCCCTAAATTAGAATAAGTGGGGGACCTAATGTCCTCCCCCCTGGTCTCCACCCCTAAGCGTTGGGTGGGGGCCCTAAATACCAATAAGGGGGAGGGAAACTATTGTCCTCCCCCTGCCCCCACCCATGAGCAGCAGGTGGGGGCCCTAAATAAAAATGTAACCCCCCCATGTGACTAGGGGTCCCCATCCCCTAGTCATCCCCTCCCCCCAAAAAATGAACACCTACCCTCCTCACCATAAAAATAATGAGGGGGGACCATCAACAAAGTACCTGTAAACAGGGGCGTACCTGGAGTATTTGGCACCCGGGGCGGATCCTTTATTTTGCACTCCCCCCCAACTTTGAAATGTAAAACAAATGCAATTTTTTAAATGTAATTGGTACTGAACACCCAAACAAACACAGACACACAAACAGATACACATACAGATACACAGACATACAGATTGTGGCAAACCTAGCCCATTGGACAAAACAGAGAGAATATGGCTTTAAGGGTTGCCTGTATATTTCTTACAACATTATATGTACCTGGTTGTAATTTACTGTAAACTGTATGTTGTATTGTCTGTATGGGCTATCTGCCAAAAGCAGATAGCTGTATTCTATTTCATTTCACGAACAGCGCCTTTGCCATTTTACACACATTTTTCAGTGTGTGTGCCTCTCGTGCAGCTATGTAATTTGACTCATAACAACACTCTCATTGGTGGATTGAAAGTAACTGCGTCTGGTGGATTGAAAGTAACTCAGTCTGCGCGGATCCCTCCATAGGTGAAGATGGATAATTTTGTTTTGCGCTCTGGTTTTTTTCTTTCCTAACTGCGATGGTCATTATGGATTTTTATTTGGCCTTTTGTGGGGCTGAAAAAAGACGATTTTAGAAAAAAGAAGACATGAAATGGTAAGTTTTATATTTAGTTAATGGTCCCCCTCATTATTTTTAGGCTGAGGGGGTAGGTAGTGGTTAATTATGTTTTGGGAGGGGGGTGACTAGAGGTTTGGGGACCCCTAGTCACCTGGGGGGTTAAATTATTATTTAGGGCCCCCACCCGCCGCTCAGGGGTGGGAACCAAGGGGGAGGATATTAGGTCACCTCCCTTATTGGTATTTAGGGCCCCCACCCACCACTCAGGGGTGGGGGCCAGTGGGGAGGACATTAGGTCCCCCCTTTATCCTAATTTAGGGCCCCCACCCACCACTCAGGGGTGGGGGCCACGGGGAGGACATTAAACTCAAAACTCAAAGGATGCAGCTATAAGAAAACACATACTCTATGCTAATCTCTCTCTAATTTATGCTTTCATCTTTCAAGTAAATCCATACCCAATAACAGCATTGTACAGTAAAGCGGGAAGTCAATAGGCAGGGTAAAAGGGTGGTCCACTGACACAAATCACGTGACCAGAACTGCCAAAAAGGGGGCATGGTTGTCCAAAGAATTGGAAGGCCAGCCTGGGACACAGTGAGACATGGGGACACTGAGAGCCCCGGGGACACAGACACTTCGTGACACTGGGAGACATGGGGGCACTGGACACACTTGGGGGCACTGGAGACACTTGGGGACACTGGGAGACATGGGGGCACTTGTGGATACAGACATGGGGACACTGGGAGACGTGGGGATACTGAGATATTTGGGGACACAGAGACATGGGGACACAGACACTGGGAGATATGGGGACACTGAGACATTTTGGGACACTAAGACACTAGGGGCACTGAGAGACATGGGAACACAGACACTGGGAGACTAGGGGACACTGGGAGACACGGGAACACTGAGACACTAAGGACACTGGGAGACCTGGGGACACTAGGGACACTAAGAGACATGGGGACACTGAGACTCTAGGGCAGGGGTTCTCAACCCAGTCCTCAGGACCCCCTACCAGTTTTTCTTAACACCTTAGACACACCCAGGTAATCCCTAAACCATGGACTGGTAGGGGGTCCTGAGGACTAACGTTGAGAACCCCTGATCTAGGGACACTGGCTGGTAGACATAGGGACACTGGCTGGGAGACATGGGAACACAGACATTTGGGGACACTGGGAGCCCTAGGGACACTGAGAGACATGGGGTCACAGACACTGGGAGACTAGGGGACACTGAGAAACCATGGACACTGGCTGGGAGACATGGGGACACTGGGAGACATGGAGACACTGTGTCCCTAGTTCTCCATGTCCCAGTGTGTCTCCCAATGTCCTTATGTCTCACAGGGTCCCTATGTGTCTCAGCGTCCCCATGTCTCACAGTGTCCCCTAGTGTCACTGTGTCCCCAGGTCTCCCAGTGTCTCAGTGTCCCCTAGTGTCTCAGTGCAGCCCCTAATGTTTCCCTGCAGCCTTTACCTCCCTCCCCCCCCCCCACTTACCTGAGCTGTAGGCTGTCTCTGCAGGCTGGGTGCTGCTGTCTGAACCCTCTGTGCTGTGTAGCTTCTCCCCCACGGATCAGTGAGTAGAGAGAGGCAGGGAGGGATATGCTGTAACTTCCTCTCTCCACACACAGTGACCCCTACTGGTTGGTGCTGGTATTGCAGAGTAATCTCCGTTTATACTGAGAAAAATATCTGCACTTGTATTGCAGGTATTACTGCAATACCGGCACAGCCAGGCAGCCTCAAACACTGTCTGTGCCGGTAAAATACCAGTCAGGTGGCAAAAAACAAAAAAGAGTAGTGTGTAAAAAAACAAAAAAGTAAAAAAATATTTTTTTTTTTCATTTTTTTTTTAAATGGGCCTATTTCATGAGCCTGGAGCTGCAGCTCCATCAGCCCCTATGTTAATCCGGCCCTGCCTACCCAGAATCATTTTCAGTAGTAAAAGCACTGTTAAAATGAGATTTCTGTGGGAAAAGCAAGTCTTATGGCTTGACTTGTATGTGTATTTGTGTTTAACAATGTATGAACTATATATATATATATATATATATATATATAATTTTTTTACTACTCTTTACATACTCTTGCTTAAGTATGGAAACTTAAGAGAGGTATAGTTGGGCAAGACTGGTATGGACTGGCTAACAATGAAATTAGTTAAGGTAAAGCTAAGTTTGTGCACTATGCAAATGCACTTGCTGCTTCAGTATCTCTAACACTGTGGCATGTTCCTTTTCTTCTACACTCACTACATACACTATTTCTATGTTCCAGACTGTATAACAGGAGCTTCTGCCTGCTAGTAAGAAGGTTAGATGAGGAGTGGTACAGCCCTTAAAAAGTGTTTAGCTAGGTGCATCATTAGACGCATTTATGCCAAGCTCAGGGTGCTGTCTGCAAAGTATGCCCTTGGTTAGTCATCATGCATGATTGGCAGGTAGCCTGATGTGCATTCATGCCAGGCTGACCATCTAATTTTTCGTGCAGACCTTTTTGGGCATGTTTGTCCATTGGGCCAGTTCTGCTTATGTGCTTCACATCAGTGGCCCACCTTTTTAACTTGCCCACCGATATCCTGCTTCAAGGGACACTGATGTTAGAGAGTATAGATTTACTTGAAAGAGAAAGCGAGATAGGGTATGTGTTTTCTGATAGCTATATCCTGTGAGTTTCCCTCCAGCACCATCTCCACCAGATACATCTAATTAACCCCTTAAAGACCAAACTTCTGGAATAAAAGGGAATCATGACATGTCAGACATGTCATGTGTCCTTAAGGGGTTAATTTAGTGGTTTCTGTCGATAAGATTCTGTAATTAGGCCCATCATAATTGTCAGCACCAGGCCCAATGGGCTCTTTATCTGACCCTGGGTACCCTTGGTGGCCCTAGGTAGTATTCGGTCCTGTGAGCCAACACTTACCCCGCAACTACTATGGTATTTCGTCTCTCAGCCCAAATCATAGTTAATACCTCACAAAACAATTGGTCTCACCTGTAACAGCCAGTCTATGTTGAAACTCTTTAATTGTCACCGAGAGGCAAAACCAGTGCTCGGTGACATAATTATCCAACGGCCCAACTCATAGGTAGAGTGTCAAAACCACAACATTCATTTTTTTTTTTTACAAATTTGCAATATATAGAGTGTAAAAATAATCTATATCTACATATATTTATAGAAATGTATACTTTGGTGTAGCAATTTTTGTTTTCCCAATGAGCTATTTTTCCAAGTTTAGTATTTAGCAGTTTTGATACATTACTGACACAAATTTGTAATCCACATCCTATCTGGTCAGAAAATTTGCTGACTGCAATCTGTTTTATGGGAACAAACAATTTACATAATGAATCTTTGGGGTTGGCAGTCAGTTACTATGTCTTAATATCAGCTCATTCTGTACTAATACTTTTGCATATTTTTTCAGCTTCTTTAATAACCAGTTTGACACGGTTAGAACTATTTGTCACACCCTTGGAATTGTTATTTAAGACAGAATGTTCAACAAGATTCAATGAACACTCCATGCACCATGCAAACTCTTACAGATTCACGCATACTCACACACACACACACATCCTTAAACACAGATTCACACATTCACACCCACTGACACACGCACACACATACAGATGCACTCACACTCTCACACACATATTTACACACAGACTTAAACACACAGACTCAAACACACTCACGCATACACAGGTTCACTCACACATACACGCACTCACAGATTCACACACACTCAGAGATTCACACACCCTCACAGGAAAGGTTGCACAGTATATGGAGCATACCCACAATTTGTATTGCCTCCCATCCCATGTAGAAGAATGGCAGAAAGCAATGCTTGGCTTATTTCTCTACTGGTTGTGCCATTTTTTTACAATCATATCAGTTACCAGGTGGCCTTGAGGACCCATGATTATATTTTTGCAGACCCTACTTTGGCACTATAGCGAGCATTAAGATCTCCAGTAAAATGTGTTATATTCTTTATTTGTATTTTTTTTTTTTAAGCAGACGGCCATACTTTCTATCCTGCACCACCTGAATAGTTAATTTAGTCAGTAATGCATAATTAAATTTTTTTTTTTGTGAAAATTCTTTATTTGTAAAGATTTTGTTTTTTGGGGGAAGGGGTACAGAAAAAAAAGTGGGGTTAAAGTTTGTGTTACAATCTTTGTATAACAGGCATGTACTCAAAGTGACAGTCAAACAATTTGAGCAGGAATGCAGATATTACATCTTTGGTTACAGCGTATGTTGTTTGTATACAACTAGATTCTATGGTTAGATCAACTTTTGCAATCGTTTGGTGTTGAGGATGGGGTGGGGTACAAAAAGGAAGAGGGAGGGGGATAGGATACAATATTGCATACAGTACTCATCTTACATTTGCCAAGGAGGTGTGAGAATACAAATAGGTCTCCATGACCAGGATCAGGGAGGGGGGGTAGGCAGTGGGTCGGGGGTACAAAGTACGGAAGGTAGGATAGGGATGAGGGGTGAGCAAATGGTGGCTTGGTTATTGAGTCGCACCCTTCCTACCGTGGTCGACCTGTTGTCCGTTCACTAGTTTGAGATTCTGTATTTTACAGTTAGCACATTTCACATACAAAAGTCGTGTGTATATTTTAACAGAAAAAGGAGGTTGGTTATGTGTTTGAAGACAACATGGTATGACATTGCTTTGTTTGCTCAATAAACTGGCTCGGCAGCTTGTAGGCTTGCACTGTGTCTGTCTTTGGGGGCCTTAGTAAGTGTGAGGTCGTGAATGTGACCCTACATGGCGTTTGGTAGTGGACTTATGTCGTCGGGGGGGTCGCTGTTTATCTGAGGGGATATTGGTCCGGGTTGGAAGTATGTCTACGAGGAGAGGTGATATAGTTTGTAGGTTTGCCAAGCCAGAAGGGTCGATGGTAGTTCTCTTGGTAGGGAGGGGGATCTGTTTTCTCAGGTGGTGCGGCCTTTGAGTACTCTTTGGTTGCGGCTAAGTCAGCAGACCTAGGCATAGGAGTCTGGTGCTGTAGTCAGAAGGGTTGTTGGGTGGTTGGGGGGGGGGAGAAGGTATTTGAAGGGGAAGGGAAAGATCACTTAGAGGGGTTGGATGTTGCTGCCCCCTTGGGTGACCTCCCGAGTACCAGATGGGTCAGGTGGGGTTGGGGGTGGCTGCGCGGGTGACTATCGTCATTCTCGTTGTGCATTAATGGCGTTATTTGAGTGTTTTCTCAGCTCACCATGGAAGGTCACTGTGTCCTTCTATCCATGGGTCCCAAACTTTGTGGAATGATTTTGGGGTGTCGTGCAGTTGCGCTGTTAGTCTGTCCATATCTATGCTGTCAGTGATTTTCGTGTATATTTGGGTGTGAGTGGGTATACGTTGCGTAGACCAATTTTCCGCAATTGCTCTTCGTGTGGCTAAGGCCACTCGCGCTATGAGTTTGTTCTCGTTACGGGTGAGGATGTCTAAGGGTTTGGATAGTAGTAGAGCCCATGGGTCCAGGGGGACCGGTTTGTCTAGTATTCTGGTTAGGAGAGTCGTGATTTTTTTCCCATAGGGGGGTGAGTTTTGGGCATGTCCACCAGCAATGGAGGAACGTGCCGGTTTCGCCACACAATTTCCAACATAGGTTAGTGGGGCTTTGTTTCAT